TTGTTTCCCACCTCCACTGATTGGTTAGTGCAAGGAGCATGGCCTGGCTCAAGGCACAGGAGGAGGAAGGGGGCGTGGTCTTATCCCCACCTGCACTGATTGGCCAGTGCAAGGCAGGAGTGTGGCTTCACCCAAGGCACTGCAGGAAGAAGGGGGCTGGCTTCATTCCTACCCACACTGATTGGCCAATTGTACAGTGGAGGGTGTGGTCTCAACCCCACCTGAACTGATTGGCCAATGCAGGACAGGGGTGGGGCTGGGGGGGTGCCTTGTCACCCGCTGGTGGCAGGCATGAGCAATGTGGTGGCCCTTGTTGGCTGGAAGGGGTCAGGGCTCGCCCTGGGGGTAGCGCAGGCACCAATCATGGGCATTCTGGAAAAGGCGTAGCCAGGGTGAGATGTGCAGGTGGTCTCAACCCCCCCTGAACTGATTGGCCAATGCAGGACAGGGGTGGGGCTGGGGGGGTGCCTTGTCACCCGCTGGTGGCAGGCATGAGCAATGTGGTGGCCCTTGTTGGCTGGAAGGGGTCAGGGCTCGCCCTGGGGGTAGCGCAGGCACCAATCATGGGCATTCTGGAAAAGGCGTAGCCAGGGTGAGATGTGCAGGTCGCGGCGCCAGCTCGGTGGCATCCAGGGCCACTGCCAGGGCAGCACGCAGCGTTCGGGGTGTGGCATCATGGCCAGGTGGCGCCCGTCAGGCGAGGAGATCCCCGCGACGCCCAGTGGCGAGCCGTTGGGATTAAGCGGGTATTCCTGTGTGGGCTGGCCTCCGTCATCCACATAGCGCAGGGGGGTCAGGCCCCTCTCGGCCGCTGCTGCCAGCCTTGCCGGGCTCCGGAACTGCACGCGGCCTGCGGGTGTGGGAGGGGGATGAAACCAGGGACCCCGCTGACAAGGGGAACTCACCCCCGTCCTCCCGCAGCAGGGCAGGGCAGGGCAGGGCAGGGCAGGGGGGCTAGTACCTTCTCCATGGGCCACCCAGACACCGAGGGTGGAGCCAGCCATGCCGCGCAGCATGAGTGCTGGCCCTGGCCCCACGGATACCGTCACGAAGCGCGACTCAAAGCGCCCAGACTCGTTCGGTGCCAGCAGCACCCCGGGCCGTGGGACCTCCTCTGCAGATGGACAGATGGGGTGAGCTCTGGGGTCCCAGCCTGGTCAGTGGTGCCCTGGACCCCCAACCCAGGCTGAGCCCTTTAGTTCTACCCCCAATCCCCAGCTGGCCCCCTCCATCCCAACCTCCTGATCTGGTCCCATCCCTGTGCTCACCGGGTCCCTGGGAGTCAGGGTCAAGGTCAGAGTCAGGGCTGCCCACCCAGCCCAGCAGGGCCATAAGCTGGCAGCCGTTGCAGACGCCAAGGCTGAAGGTGTTTCGGCGGCGCCGGAAGGCCTCGAACTGGGTGCGGGCCAGAGGGTGGAAGGTCACAGCCGCCGCCCAGCCTAGAGGAAGAGGCTTGAGGGTCAGAGAGGAACACATCCGCCCTATTCGCCCCATTTGGGAGTACTGAGAGGGGTGGGGCAAGGACCCAGCCCTGATCCGGGGGACCAGTGCTGACCTTTGGCAGAGCCCAGGACATCGGCATAGCTGAAGCCGCCCACGAAGACGAGGCCGCGGAAAGCATCGAGGGAGACAGCACCGGTGCACAGGTCCTGCATGGTGACGTCCCAGACCTGCAGGGCCACAGCTACCTCAGCCTAGATGCTGGGATTCCTCGGCCCAGCTCATGGGGCAGGGGGTGCAGTGGGGATTGGGGACTTTGAGCAAGGATGGTTGGGAGTCCGGATGCCTGGGTTCTCTCCCCGCTCAGGGGAGGGGAAAGGAGAGCAGTGGGAGCTGGGGCGCTTGGGTTCCTCGCGCTCGGGGCTCACCTGGAAGCCAGCCATGACAAACGCAGCCACCATCTCGCGGTCGCCGTTGCTGCCCTCTTCACGCAGGACGGCCACACACGGCGCCAGCAGCTCTGGTTTGGGGGGGCCCACAGTTGGACCTTGTCCTCCCCCAGGTTGTTCCCCCCCCCCCCCAGCTGGGATCT